TGTGTGATTTATCTATAAATTTGGAGAGGGGGGGGCATTTTTGCAATCATTGCGAATTGGAGCCAACATTAACTATTTCTGCTTCTTTTTGTCGCAACTTGTCATTAAGTTAACAAAGCAGCCGCACTTCTCGCTCGTGGAAACTCTTTCCGGCTTCCTGCTTTCCTGTTAACTACGACCTTCAAAGATTTAAATGCAATGTCAGTCGTCATCTGCTGTCTCCTTGAACACTGTTCTTTTATTACCCTGTTTTCCTCATTTTCAGTAACCTCTTGCATCCTTGTAGCTTTTATTGCTGTGCTAGGGGTGAAATGATGATAATAATAATAAAAATAATCTCTGGCGAGGTTTGAACTCTCATCCTTTCTTTGGAAATCTGTTTTTTTTCGTGAAAGTGTCTTTTGACTTCTTTAATAAAATTGAATAGCAATGGTGCGTTACATAAATGACTATTAATTCTGTAATTTATAATGTATCCATACACAAAGTGCCAAAATGCGTCTGCAATAGTATTTTCTTTAAGTTGAAGTCAGACATAGTTTCGGAGTTGAGATATCATTACCATTATTAACACAGTGTAATAAAACGACATCTTTGTTTCACCAAATTTTGTTGGTTGACTTTTAATCTTTGACTATAACTGCCACAGCAAAATATTCAATTTTCGCTTAGTTTGGGGTATTTGTGGCATAATTGCCTTGATAGGCGTTTTCCATTTTGTGAAGATATTTTAAGATTTGAAGTGCCGACAAGATCAGCGCTTTCAATCTTTACAGCAAATGTATTTAGTGTTGAACTCTGTAGGTACGGTCTTCGAGCTGAAACAATGCCTCACATATACAGTACAATTTCGCTATCTGTTTTTCACGGTAACTGAATTTGCGAATAGTAACGAACCATCGGGGATATGTCCAAAAGTTGGGGAATCGACAACGTATTTTAAAAAGGTAGTTAATTTTATTTTTTTTTTTTTTTTTTTGCGCAACATGTTACTGACAATTGAAACAGTTTCCAGTTCATGTCTTCCACCCACAAAGGCGAAAGGTGGGAGAAGTTCAAATTAGTCATTTGATGACATACGCAGTGTTGACTTTGTGAATATTTATTTATTTTTAAAAAATACTATTAGTGTTCTTAGTATTATTAAATACTCTTGTCTTTTTTTGTTTTCTGTTCTTGTTTATCTTCTATGTGCCTTATTCCGTCATCCATTTACGCAAGCTCGCTAGCCAGGTTATGCGTTGTTTTCGCGGTGCCTTCAATCTTTCCTGTGTGTATCCAATTTTCCAAGCCGACGTTCCTCATTATGTGCCCTAGAAATTTCAGCTGACTTTTCCTAATGTTAAATATCAGTGTCCTTTTTTGGTTCCAGTTTATCTAAATCTTCATTATTTTTCACATTTCGGTCTGTGGTATTCTATGTATACTTTTATAGAACCACCTTTCTGCTGCTTCTGGTCTTTTCATCTGTAAGATAATTGTCCAGCATCCACTGCTATATATATATATAGGAGGACTGGTATTCTTTAATAGTTCGATACTATTTTTTTGTTCTTTCCCTCCCTTTTTTTTTTTTTTTCTTTCTTTAACGAAGTTTTTCTGTTTCTTCGTAATACTTTAACTTTAATTTTAAAATATATTTGTCAAAGTAATTTTAAATTTCTCCGTGTTTGGTGTTTCAGGGAATGGTGACTTAGCGCTCTATTATAAATTGGTACATAGAACTGGTGCTTCTGGGTTTGTCTATTACCCGAATGTTGCGATTTTAAAATTAGTGGTAACCTCTGATATCAAAAATTATCACGATTATTATTTATTTTATTTTTTCATGATTTAATTTTTAAAGTATTCTGGGTGTTGCGTCCTGAAATATTTGAACTTGGATTATAAAGGTCCCTAGTTAACAAAATGACGTTTTACAATGTCTCTACAACATTATATAGAGAGATTACAAAATCGTTTTTTGTAGATTCCTCAGAACATTAGCGTCCGTAAGTATAACCTGTCAACAACGTTTCAAATACGTTGCCTTGTGTAACGTTTACCGAAAATGATTAAGAAGGAAGATATTAAAATTTAAAACGTCTCTTCATGTGAATTACCGATTCTCAAATTAAAAAAAAACAAAAACAAAAAAACGAAAAGAAATTTAATAGATGAATGATGCTGATAGATCTTTAATGCGTGAGTGAGTCTCCTGGACCCATGGGTAGTGATTCGGGTGGGTCCCTGTGAAATTTGGTGGGTGGCAACTAAAAAATTTTTTTAAACTGCAAGGCTACATTCTCCGTCTTTAAATTGACGGAACAAAAGATTTTTTTTTTAAACTGAATCAATGAACTAAATTTAAGACAAACACCGAATTTGCAGTTCAGTTAAATTTGTATAGGACACAATTTTTTTAAATTTTTTTTTTTTTTTTTAAATTTTTTTTATTGAAAGAACAAAAGCGTTTTATTATTATTTTATTAAATACATGACAGCATTTTTGAAAAAAAAAAAATTAACCCCCCAAAAAAAAAAAAAAACTAACTAAAAAAACAACAACGAACCAAGAAAGTAAAAGTGTCTGGTAAGGCGACATTGATGTCTATTTCATGCCACCTACACATCCGACCGCTCAATGAAATAAGGAAAGAAAGTGTGAAAAAACGAAAAGTATTTGGAAGAATAACATCAAATGATTAATGCAATATTATTTAAAATTGCAAGAGATATTTGCCTCTTAACAGTCTCCCAACACATACAGGAAAATCTCTTGTTCGAAGACATTTTTTTTTTTTTTTTTTTGAATTCCGTTAAAAATGTTATTTCAACAGTGAACTGTTACTATTAAATACAAATGTCTCCTCTTTAAAAAATATAAATAATTGCCATCAATATCTTTTTTTCATTTGACAAATGATTTGCGTTTGGTTACAGAAAGAGTTACATTTCAATTTAAATTAATGTTTGTTTATAGAATAGATATTTGTGCGACTGTTTGTGATCGAAAGCTTTCAAAGACTTGTGGTCATTTTCACGATGTCGTTTTATGTATACGTGTCATCTTTTGCTTATTCAAACAGTCTTTTTCTAAGTCTGCGTGGATCGTTAAACTTATGGTGACATCAGGCTAGGTGACTGTCAAGCGAGATTCATCATTCCATTTTGTTTGATGAAACACTTAGACACACCCACAAACGGACGCTCCTTTCCTCCCCTTCCTGCTCCTTTTCTCCTGCTCCTTTCCTCTCTCTCTCTCTCTGCTCCTTTCATCTCTCTCTCTCTCTCTGCTCCTTTCATCTCTCTCTCTCTCTCTGCTCCTTTCATCTCTCTCTCTCTCTCTGCTCCTTTCTCTCTCTCTCTCTCTCTCCTTTCTCTCTCTCTCTTTCTCCTCTCTCTCTCTCTCTCTGCTCCTTTCCTCTCTCTCTCTCTCCTTTCCTCTCTCTCTCTCTGCTCCTTTCTCTCTCTCTCTCTGCTCCTTTCCTCTCTCTCTCTCTCTGCTCCTTTCCTCTCTCTCTCCTTTCCTCTCTCTCTCTCTCTCTCTCTCTCCTTTCCTCTCTCTCTCTCTGCTCCTTTCCTCTCTCTCTCTCTCTCTGCTCCCTTTCCTCTCTCTCTCTCTCCTTTCCTCTCTCTCTCTCTCCTTTCCTCTCTCTCTCTCTCTCTGCTCTTTCTCTCTCTCTCTCTCTCTGCTCGTTTCCTCTCTCTCTCTCTCTGCTCGTTTCCTCTCTCTCTCTCTCTGCTCCTTTCCTCTCTCTCTCTCTGCTCCTTTCCTCTCTCTCTCTCTCTGCTCCTTTCCTCTCTCTCTGCTCGTTTCCTCTCTCTCTCTCCCCTCCAGCCATTCTGGGACAATAGTTGCTGCCACTCTCTTCATCTTTTACATAGTCTTGAATTATGTTATTTGCTACGAATGTTGCAAAATCTTTCTTCATGTGCTGCCATATTTACGCATATGAGAAGAGGTAATTTACTTGCTACAGTTGGCAGATGAGATATTTTGAAAATCAGCAGAACGTTTGCTAGCAAGATAGCAAAATTAAATTATACTATTTTTAGTACAGCTGAAATACTTAAAGAACTTGTGAATATTTGACGTCATATTATCAAAATATCTCGTTTCATTGTCAACTTTTAAGTGTTCCTGATTAGATTTGCATTAACCTATTTTTTTAAACCTTTTGATTAAGCTAATCACAATATTTGTGCTAACAATAGATTTTTTGTTTTGCCCGATATATTTTTCAACATTTCTCAAATATACAGCTTCTCTCTCTCTCTCTCTCTCCCCACCCAATGCTTCTGATTGGACTTTTGCAAACCTTTCAAAATGACATTCAGATTCTCACTTCCTGCATTGGTCTTTTTTGCTGAAATTAAAATGTTCAATAAAGAAGACTTGAGACTTGATAAACTATACATTTGAAGAAAGCATAGACAGAATTGGGATAAAAAAAACAAGAACGGGTATATATGTCTGAATAATGCAGAATAATACAAATATATTTATGTATTTATTTATTTAAATGAAATGCCCAACAATTAGGTTAACACTCTGCATTATTAATACTTTTTCAAAACTTCTCAATTGCAATATTGTTAATTTAACTCCAGCTTGTTTTCTGTTGCTATAGCAGGATATGACAACACATCTATGAAATTCAAACACCCTATTGTTCAGGGATCTGTAACCTTTAGGATAAACATTTTGTACAGCAAATGAAGTCGGGTACAGAGAGATAAAGGTTAACATACATTGATGGGAAGATAATAAGCGGGAGAGAGAGAGATACAATATTGGTTAGGCATGAGGCTGAAAAAAAAAAAACTCATAAAAACCTATTTGCTATGGAAACCATAGTAGCAACTTTGTGAAACTGTGACCCTGTGACCCACAAGGGAGTCTATTGGCACTGGAATGGAGAATAACATTTTTGAAATGTTGAAGTCTGAAACAGCAATAAACTGACAATGTCAATAAATGTTAAAGAAATGATCATTTTGTGATCCTTACAGTAATATCATATTGAAATACCGGTTCCCATAAGATTACCAAAGTTAAGCAACATTGAGCATTGTTAGTGCCTGAATGGGTGGCCACTTGGAATACCAGGTGTTGCAAGCTTGGATGTGTGGGTGGTGTAATGGATAATGACTTGGAATTGTTAATCAGAGAGCCAGGTTCCAATTCCAATTGGGTTTGTTATATTTACTGATGAGAAAATACCCCAGGGAAAGGTACAAATTTATTGCTTCTCTGCCCAGCTATGGGTTAATTAATAGGACTTCTATTACTAAATCATTATCTCCAAAAGAAAATATTCTTGCAATCTAAAAATATTTTTTGTCTTTAAGTAATCTGTAATGCTTTAAATTGTAGAAAATTAATCAATAATCAATCAATGAACTCTATGGACACACAAAACTGTTAGGCTTTCTTTTCTTTTTTTATTTTAGCAAAAAATGATATATCCTCAATAGAAACTAATTTTCAAGTTCTTTTTAAAAATCAATCATGAATTTTAGAAATGGCATTTCAATATGATAGTGTTTGAGCATTTGTGTAGTGTAATGGTTAACAAGTTATAGCATTTGGTTTGGTTTGTTTTATGGTATATCAACCTCAGTGGATTATTTAATGCCAACAAAATTTTTCTTGCTGGTAATATATTTTTTTTTTTTTTTTTTTTCAAAAAGTTTTTCTGGTAATATTTATTTTCAAAAATATATTTCTGGTAATATTTCTTGGAAAAATTTATTGCTGGTAAATTTTTTATTTTTTATTATTGCTGGTATTAAGACCTATTTTTACATTTTCATAGAGTTCTAAGATTTAGGTTGTTGTTACTGCTGTTATCCCTGATACCAAATTCTAAAGTGTGGCATCTCTCTTTTATGATTGATCTCTTCAGGGACATATATATAGTTGTCTTTGAAAGTTGCAATGCCTTGCCTGCCAGTGTGGAACCACACTACACAGTTTGAAGTTTGAGGCATTGCTTGAGGATGATATTAATGTGCTTTTTGTAACACTTCTGGCTTCTGGCTTCTAGATGAATAGTGGCCTTCAATTTGCTTTAGAATACCTAATGATGTGCAGTTCTCTTCCATTCAAATGACGTAGTCAACCCAGTGTAGTTACAGTACAGTCAAGAATTCAATGCTGACACATCAAAAGCATGCCCTCTTCCATTGCCGAAGGGCTTCGAAGTAGTTTCTCTTTCAATTTGTTACCTCGACAGTCCACATTAATTGTCTTAAGAGTATCTGTCTTTACAAATGACAGATTTCCTCTACCTTGTTAAAAATTTCTTTTTTTTTTTTTTTTCTTGAGAATTAGTCAGCATGGCTTGTAAGTAACAGTGCAGAATCTCTTTGCATTCTTAAATTTTCAAACACAGTCGTCTTTCATAATGTCATTTGATTACCGTACTTGATGGCATATAAGACCGATGTGTTTCCACTCTAAATATTTTATAAATCTAATGTCTAAAGCTCAAATTTTATGTGTGTCCACTTGAAACCTTAAAAATTAAAACTGACATCAAGTAAATGTACTTTTAACCTTAATATCTTCCAAAATGACTTATATAGCTTACAGCAAAATCAGGCTGAAACACCAGTTCTTGTTTGATCGCCAAAGTTAAGCAATGTTGATGCCGGCCAGTAGTTAGATGGGGGACCCACTTGGGTATGCTATAGAAACCACAGTAGCAATGCCTCATTGGCCCCATACTCCTCAGTGGTGTCTCTGGGACTAAAGGAGGAGGTTTCGTATGTTTCCAAAATCAATAATAAAAAAAAATAAAATAAAAAAAATCTCTTTTGAGATTAATTTCCAATTTTACTTTTTTTTTTCTTTATATAAATAAGAAATTATCTTATTGATGATTTTCATAAATTCCTTAGTTATTCAGATAAAGCCATTTTATGGTCTGAAAGTGGTCATGACCTTAGCATTTAGATCACAGCTTAGAATTAGAGAACTAAGCAATGTAGACATATTTAATATTTTGAAAATCTAACAAACATTTCAAATTATGTTATATTCCTTGCTAATAGGAATATATACTTGAAAAACAAAGTGGATAAAATAAGTAAAGGTTTATTGTACAAAACCAGTACAATAAGAATAAAGGTAACAGTTATGCACAAGGTCATCACAAATCAACTCAGTAGTGAGTGCTACTATTGGAAGGTTGGTAGTTCTCGCTTAAGTCTGAGTCGTACTCAATAGATCCCAGCAATCTCTGTAATCTGTTGACTTACAGATACTTATACTCATGGGGGTGACAGGTTATTCCATTACATCATTATTATAAAGAAGATATATGAAAGAAATGATTTTCAAACTGTTTAAATTTATCAATTTACTTCAATTAATAAAAATACTATTTTACATATACATACACACACACACACACACACACACACATATATATATATATATATATATATATATATATATATATATATACCCAAATTAGAGAAAGAACAGATTGAGTAAAAATCCACTGTTTGTAGAATTTACTTTTAAAAATGTGCTCAGTACAAAGTAGAATAATGTACAGTGTAACCCGGATATTAGATACCCGTATATAAGAGATTTTCTCTGGTCCCAAATTAGAGCCTGTGTTAATGTATATAAAATAGACCAAACCCGGATATAAGAGAAACCCGGATATAAGAGACTTCTTCTCCGGTCCCGACAACTCTCTTATATCCGGGTGACCCTGTATTATATTTTTATTATAAGTGATTATAATAAAAACATTTTGAAATTGCTACACAAAAACTTTCATGTTTCAATACTATGATTGTACTTCTTCAGGCAATCACTACAATCATAGTATTTAAATGTGAAAGCTTCTGTGTAGTGATTTCAAAATGTTTTTATTATAATCTCATATATAAGCTATCAGAAAAATAAAAATTGCATTACCCTTCAGGACATTGGTGATCAGATTCTGTTTCTTATCTCTCAGTTGTTTTTTCTTCTTGGGAAGTACAGTGACCTGGTTTTTTGTTACTTTCTCCATGGTAGATCCCAGTCTACTCCATTAAACTCAATGTTTGGGGTTGTGGGGGAGATGTATTCATGATTTTATCAAGGGTTTTATGCGAAAGGGAACACAACAGACTAGCTCGAAATTTGAGCTTGGCTTTCTGATTTCACTTTCTGCTCTGTTATTCATTACACCACCTGCACACCCGATGGGCATCATAGCTAGTTGATTTCTAGTAGATTTTGATATCCTGTTGAATTTTTTTTTAATATACCTTGCTGAAAGTGGAATAGAAAGAGATGTTTTGGGTCTTATGAAATTTCAAATACAGTTAATTTATATTCCAGGTGTGGCTTTTTATTTATTTATTAATTTTTTTTTAATACTGACAATTGTTTTAATTACAACTGATAACTTGAAGGTTGAAAAAAATATTAAATTATTTCATGGCAATAATTTTGTATCCTGCTGAAAGAGTGACAAAAAATATATCCTAATTCTTGATTCCTAATTTATGAATTGCTGTCAACCTTTTTAACTAAAAGCTTTTTTCAAATATGAGTCACCAGAGTGAACTTTTGGTTTTTTGTTTGCAATGTTTATAGGTCCTGCACATTTTTCTGTCGTTTTTTTTTTTTTTTTTTTTTTTTTTGTAAAAAAAAAAAAAATAAGTCTTTGGAATTCCTAATCTTAAAATTTGTTCTATCACCTTTTTTTTTTTTTTTTTTTTTTTTTGCTTATTTATTGCCATAATTCTTCTTGTAATTTCAAGATATTTAACTTTTAAATGCGTAACTTTTGAGTTTGTTGCTATAAATCCGGAATGAGTCAAAATTCTCTATGAAAACAAAGAATTTCTTCTGGAAAAAAAATCTGTTTACCTTGATGCCTGCTTTCAACTGACATTCATACACATTGACGTTTTTAACAAGAATGAGTAAAATTGCATTCTATGTAGGAATAGAAATAATAAAAAAAAAAAACTTGACATTTTAAAATAAATTGTTTAGAAGTATCTTCAATTTTGTTACTGATTTCTTTGTTCTCTTCCATTCACCACAATTTTCTAATTGGTTACTTTTTTGCCTTTCTCTCCTTTGCTCCAGTCCACTTCTCTCTCTCTCTCTCACCTGTATCAATTTTTTAAATATTCAGTTTAAGAATTTTTTATGCATGGCTTTGTTCACCATTATCAATCAAAATTCTGCATTTAATCTTTTTTTTTTTTTTTTTTTTTTTTTTTTATCCTTAGAAAATCCACTTCCTATGAACAATTTCAATCCCACCTCTACCGCTGCAAAATAGAGAGATTTTCTCAACAGTAAACATTCTCTATATATTTGTTGAATTAATTAACCTGTTGATGCATCCTAGCTTCTTTCTCCAACACTTTCCTCTCTTATGGAAAAAAAAAAAAAAGAATATAAGCCCCCCCCTTACAGAAATGAGATCATTTTCTCTTGTGTGTGTATATATATATATATATATATATATATATATATATAGCGGAATGATTTTTCAGCAAAACCCTTTTATTTAAATTATGTCTTTGGGAGATCCATTACCAACAACATTCGTTTTGATTTGATTTTTATTTATTTTTTGCCTTATAATTTTTCTAATTTAACAAATTTTTTTTTTATTAGCTAAAAATGCGTTCTATCACAAACTCTAAATGTTCATACTTTGCCCATAACATGTTAAGATTTCAATTCATGATGAATTATTCCAGGCCTTGCCTAAAAGTAGTAAATACAATAAAAGCCTTAAATTTTTATGTAAATGTGCAATAAATATTACTTTGCTATAGATGTAATTTTTTTTTTATTTCTACTTGTAGTGTATGCTGTCCAAAAATGACAGCTGTATTTGAGGTTTTGATAAATTTATACATAAAATAAATTTTGATGTGTTAAAAAATTTATTTAAGACATACATAAATCAGTGTATTTTTATGTTTGAAATAATAAAAAAAATTCTTTTTCCACTATCCTTCTGCTGACAAAAGTGTTACATGTGTTTTTACTATATGCAAATACTTACTTTATTTTCAATGTTTTAAAATATCTTCTTTTTTGTGTGTCTGTTTTCAGTGTGTGTGTTGTTTTTTTATATATA